CCCCAAAACCCCAAAACCCCAAAACCCCAAAACCCCTATGAATTAAATTAAATTTGAATAAAAATATAATAATTTTTGAAGAATGGCTGATTTAGATGGAGATTCTGGTATGCCAAAGGCCAGTATTGGCAATTATAAAGGTGTCATGCTCTGTAACAGACCGGACGAGTTCGGTCAGGTTCAGAAGCCAGAGAGACAAGGCAAACCTCCTTTTATCTCAAGAGTAGATCCTAAGGACAAGGTTGGCCTCAACCCAACTAAGAAGGTAATTGTGGTCCAAAAGAAGAAAAAGGACACTAACAGCATTCTTGTGAGGCATAAGCGGTATCTCAAAATGTTGCAGGAAAAACGACTAATTGAGAAATTAGAAAAAGAAGAAGAGGAGAACAAGAAGGCAGAAACGTTAAAGAAATTTAAGGAACAAACTTCTAACCAGAGAAAGAAAATCACTAAACTTAAAAATGAGAAAGATGGAGACCAGGCCCAAGAAACCTCTCCTAATCTTCTCCAAGACACTTCCCCTATTAAAATCGAAGAGCCAGTCCCTATGCCAGAAGACAACAAAAAGGTCTCCCAACTGACCCAAGAAAACGTCAAAGAATTCACAAAGAAAGCTTCCAAAAAACCCTCAAAACAAAAGCCTGCATGGGCTAAAACCGAGCAACAGCTCCAAAAAGAAGAGGAGGAAGAAATTGACGACCTTATCGAATTCGCCTACGACCTCGACTACGAAAAATACATGGAGGATTTAGAAGTGAGACAAGCACTTGCTCTCGTCAGAGAAAGAGTTAAAGAGATCAAGAAGGACGATGAGTGGAGGGAGAACGCTGTTAAGGAATGGGAACACCCAAACCCTAACGAAGGCCAAAATGATGATGACAACCGCTCAGCTGTTTCTATTAGGACTAGTGTTACAGGAAGATCAAGAATGTCAAAAGCCAGTAAAAAGTCTGAACTCAGAGATGAGATACAAAGAGAAGAGGAGAGAAAGAAGGAGCAATGGGATACTTCAACTAATGCAGAAAAGAGAGAAAAGACAGTTGAAGAAAAACTTGCTTCCAAACTTGCCGACCAGATTTTGGAAAATAATCCAAACTTAAAGGGAGTTCATTCTAAGACTTCAATGAGAAAAATGCTTGAAAAAGAAGCTGCAAGGCAACTTGTTGAACAAGATGGGGGTGGTTTTGAAGGTCCAAGGATCACTACAGTAAAGGACCACGAGATGAAGAAGGATATAGAAGCTTCGAATCTCCCATATCTTCATAAAAATCCTGCTATCTAATAGATCTTGCTAACGATGCATTCCATAACCAACTTTTAACTTAGTTTCTCTTGGCTTGGTACTTTTCTTACTAAACTCAGAGGAATCAAAACATAAATCTCAATTTGATTAAGAAGTTATGGGGTTTTGGGGTTTTGGGGTTTTGGGGTTTTGGGGTTTTGGGGTTTTGGGGTTTTGGGG